CCATATTTCTCTAAGACTTTGTTTATTTTTTAATTGTGTTTTTTTTAATCTAACTCTTTGATTTTAAGAACCATTTTTGAAGCTCTTAAATTTTTTCACCTGTTTTGTCTAGTCTGTTGTTAGCAACTTTTTTATTACTGATTGAATTTTGGAACTTATAAGTTTGTTTTGAATATCAATTGTATTTTGAAATTCTTGTAATAAATTTTTCCAGAAGTTCTGTTTGGTTCTGTCTTCATATAGTTGTGTCATCTTTCAAATCCTGGATCTTTTTTCCATTTCCTTTGTGTTGGATTACAACTTTCTCTTGGATTTCATTTATTTATTTATTGCCGTCCTTATTTTGTTTTATGTATGCCATTTAGATGTTTTATTCTGGTTAGGATTTGTTGCTAGGGAGGTATTGGGATCCTTTAGAGGTAATGAAACACTGGCTTTTTGTATTGTTGGAGTTCTGCACTGGTTCTTTCTCAATCAAGGGAACTGGTGCTTACTTTTTTTGAATTTGCTGTTCCTTTAATTTTTTCATTGTTTATTATCTCTTTTCTTAAGGGCATGGCTGGGGTGTATTTTGTGAATGATCAATTGGTATCATTTCTGAGTGCTTTCATAGGTACAGGGCTCTGTACACGTTCCTCGGTTTCAGATGGCTTTCCCGATAGTTGCTTGGTGTAGCAGTGGTGTAATTCAGTATGACTTCCAGCAGATGACGCATCAGAGTAAGAGCCGGCAGGTAGGCTCTTACTCTTTTCGCCTTCTGCAGGGGTGGAGTAATTGGAGAAGGAGGAAAAATATTCTTCCCCCGCTACATTGGTCTTCGTCAGGGATGGAACCGCTGGAGAAGCCTGAGAAGCACCTATTTCAACTCATGCTCCCTGGGCCCCCATGGGGGAGCTGCTGCTGCCTTCAGCAGTTACTGGGGATGGGGGCAGGGGGCAAGAGACCCCCCACTGCAAGTCGTTATTGTCTTTGTTGTTTTCTCTGTCCATGATTGGCACCACATTCACATTTCCTTTGACCACCTTTGGCGCTGTCAGGCTGTGCTACTCTCTTCTTAGTGGTAGTCCACACCAAAGATTAGACCCTAAGAGAGTAGAGTTCACCTTCTCCCCACTTCTTAGAGCTAATGGGACAGTCTTCCCAAACTGACCAATGACACACACAGACTGGATCGAGGTTGCTAAGCTGTCACTAGTGACAAGCCATTCCACTCAGAAGAAACCTAAGTTTCAGCAAATTTACTCCTGCTCAAGTTTGGCAATGGGAGGGAGCTTAATTCCAGCATCTGCTGCTGTGGTGCTCTCCACATTCATTGCTCAGATCTGACTGTGGGGGCTCTTACCCTACTCCAGAGAAAGCACTCCAATCTCTCGTCTTATACTGGCCAGGCCAACGTCTGCAGTGGCTATGGTTGTCAGGTTATCAAACAGTGATTGACTTTTTTGAACTCTGATTAAAAATTGCATTCTCCTCTCAGTTTTGGGTCTGAGAAAATGCCTGCAGACTTTTCCAGTGTCTTTTCTTCTCTGTGTCTCTTTGTCTTTCCTGGAGCTATCTCCTGGGCTTAGAGAAACAGATGCTCTCCCTTGGCCTGGATTGCAAAGATCGCTACTGAAAAGTGATATACAGAGGGAGACTAGCTGCCCCTCTCACATATTGAGGCTTCATCCACGTAATCAGCCAAATATGACATTATGAGGGCAACTTACACATCTTCTCCTCCCTAGCATCTGATGTGACCTTGAGTCTTCCAGTGAATTCCCTTTTTTTTTTAATTATTTAAAGCTCACAGAGTTGAACTTCATGCACTGTTTAGCTATTTCTAAGTGGCTGACGCATGCTGGTGGTCTCTAATCCACCATCTTAGAAACAAAAAAAGAAACCCAAAACTCTGTAGTGTATTTTAATAGTGATTTATCTGCAACATCCAGTACCATAAGTTTAACTTATTGGAAATAATTTACATGAAATAGTTAATCACTTCTTTGCAGAAATTAGGAGTACTTCAGGAGTTGAAACATAATGTCTACTGATATTTTGTATGCCAAGGTTTCTGAGAAATTTTTGTCTGCAATGTTCTTTTTCTTTGGCAAAACATAAGTTCCCATGAGTTAGGATGTACCTATTTGTTCTTTCTTTAATCATATAAATATTAATTGATAAATATATGATTTGTTAATAGAATGACATGTATTTAAAATAATATAAACAGATTTAAAATATAGCTAACAGAAAATTTTTTTTCTTTTATTTATTTATTTTTTAAATTTTATTGCATTTTAGGTTTTGGGGTACATGTGAAGAACGTGCAAGATTGTTGCATAGGCACACACGTGGCAGTGTGATCTGCTGCCTTCCTCCCCATCACCCACATCTAGCACTTCTCCCCATGCTATCTCTCCCCAACTCCCGTCCCCCCGCTGTTCCTCCCCTATTTCCCCCCAACAGACCCCAGTGTGTAGTGCTCCCCTCCCTGTGTCCATGTGTTCTCATTGTTCAACATCCACCTGTGAGTGAGAACATGTGGTGCCTGATTTTCTGCTCCGCTAACAGAAAATTATATTGCTACATGGGTCATTTGACTCTTTTTTTTTACTACATCAAGAATATAATCTAATTAAAATTGAACATAAAAAACAGAAACATGAAACATTCCCCGAGATATAAACATAATCCATTTATATTGATATCATTATAATGTAAATATCTCATTATAGCTTTATAATATAATGTAATTATATAGATTTCAAAACTGAATGTTTCTTAAGTTAGGTTATAAAGTATAAAGTGAAGAATAAAGAAACCAAAGAGAAAAAGCAAATGAATCAGCAAATCTGAATGAATTAGACTCAACTGAGCCATCAATTATTCCACTTCTCTTAGAGAATTTCATTTCTTTCCTTATTCTAGAGCACTATTGCTGGCTTATTGGATGTTAGTAGAAAAAAAATATACCTTATACATTATAAAATAAATATATATTTTCAACTACATAAAATACTTAATTTTAAATTACATATTTTACAGCTAGAACTAAATTTGATAGGCTGTGGAAAACCAGATATGCATAAATTAAACAATAGTGCTTTATTCAAATAAAGTGAAATGTAGAACAATTTTTCATTATTAATAGTAAAGTCAAACCTCCCTACCTCATCCCCATATAGTTAACAATATTTTATGTGTGAGATTTTCTGTAATATTAATCACACTTTGATTAAAATAAAAATTACAGGATAGAAAACAGAACTTTTATATAAATTTGTCTCTAGGATTGTTTCATGTTCATGTTTTTTAGTGTCCACTTTTAATTCTAATGAAAATAATTCTATAATTTTATGTGAGACCAATAATATGCTATGACAAAAATAATAGAGTGTAATATTCTTGAAATGTTAATATTTATTTTCATGGTACGGGTAAAGAGAGAATTTAATTTATATTTAGGTTGTCCAGCTTATTTCTGGTCAAAAAAGTCATGAAGAGCAATAATTTTTGTCATGAAAATATCAAATGCATGTGGGACGGTTTTAAGTTTTAGAAACTTCTAACTTATTTGCAGATACTCATTTACAAGCTGATTTGTATTTATATGTATGCTCTCTTTGTGCAAAAGTTTTAAGGCTGCTGGTTTCTCATAAAGTTATAGAAAATGAGATAGCAAAACAAAAATAGAAAATCATAGTCAAAGGAGAAAATAGCACACTCACACAATATACATCTCAATGCCTTTTTTAATGCATGAGCTTCAAATGTGTCTCTAAGTTCCACAGGAAAAAAAAAAAGGCACAAAAGGATAACTTAAGCAGTTATCTAATTTTCATTTTTTGTAGAGATGATGAATACCAGTTTATTAGGAGGAAAACTATCATTGAAATTTTGAACAGTATTTTTCATCTGCAGCATTATGTAAAGGAAGAGTGATGTAAGGATAGTGTATATCCTTAATACATCCAGAAAGTTTAAATCACTGTCACCTAGTATTTTTTTATTTTCTTCTTACAATATTAGATAAATGTTGAGAAAATGACATTGATATGTAAATACATAAAGAACATGACTTCTGTTACTCCTTACTAATCTGTTGCAGGAACATAGAAAATCTTAAGGACTGGAAAACTTTTATTTTCATAAATACTGGTTAATTTGTGTGTATGTGGAGGAGCCAGAATGCTGAGCTATTTATTTTAAGATAGGGGAAAAATCCGTACCCTTTTAACAATTACAGGGCTGCAGGTTATTTACTCTATTCTCTTGGGACATTTTGTAATTTCTTTTTAAATTACAGATATATGAAAGAAGGTAATGGTTCAGAAGAAGAGGCAGGTAAATTGTGAGAATGGAAGGAACACGTGGTAAGAAAAGATAAGAAAAATAGATAAACTAATGCAAGGGGTAAAATGAGCAAGGACTAAGGAAAAATAAATAGGTTTTGATAGCAGGGAAGAGAGAAACAGTAAAAAACAAATGAACAATATGATTCATGTTTCACTTACTACCGTATTTACAATGTACTGAGTAAAGTCAGAGTAAATCTTATACCTAAACATTCTAAGATAACTATTTTCTTGAAACAGTAGAAATAGATCCAATAGGCTTTAGATATTGCAATCATCAGACATAAATATAAAATAAACATGTTTAGTATAGATGAAGTATTAGTATATAAAGTTCTGAACACAGAACAAGAAGGTTTTTTTCAATGAAATGTTTAAAAAATATAATGGTGTAGTCAAAGTTTAAAAATCAATGATAGATTAGCTAGCAGATTAGACACAGTTAAAGGAAAAATTAATACATTTTATGATAGATAAAATAAATTATATAGAATACAGTTCAGAAAAACAGAAAATATGGAATAAGTCTATATGAAGGATCCTGTGATATATTTCGACAGGTTTAAACAGGAATGCATCAAGAAAGGGAAAGGAGAAATGCTCAAAAAGATAATGGTTAAATTTTTTTCCTTTTTGTTAAAAAAGCTATTAATCTTAAAATCCAGAGGCATTCAAAAGATCCAAGTTATGCAAAGCTGGAATCTTGGGACAAAGGAAACCTATATATCCTCACTAGTCATTTGTACTATCCCTTGTTTCCTGTTTACTCTTTTGTGAGGTCACTCCACATTCCTGGCCTCTAGGCAATGCTTTCTATCATTGCTGCTTCCAATAAAACTGTTTACAGCCATTGTAATTTGTGGCCTTTTACCTGGATGTAGTCAGGGCACACTAATCTTCCAATCTGTCCCCTCTGCTTCTCCCTGGTTCTGCAAATAGCATTTTCCTAGGTAAGTCTTCTATTAATACATAGTTCCTAGTTAAGTTGTACCCTCCACAGATTCTGACTCCAAGTCTTCTCATTTCTAACTTCACTATCATATGAAGATCAACGCTCTCTCTCCCATATCTCAGCTATGTCTTAACTTTCTTCCAAGGAACTGGATTCCTTATGTTTCACACAAGACTTGAGAAAAGATGAGGAGCCAGAATCTCTTAATTAATCTCTGCCTAAATGTGCCCTGCTTGCCTTTTTATAATGCCACAGTTATACTGTGTTGATGTAGGTTCCCAGGATTTCACCAGGAAATACTCTCAAGTCTCCTCATATTGGCCTTCTTCTCATTTTATTTGGCTTATAATGTTTCACATCCCTTGTTTCTAGGAAGTACAAACAAGGTCTAGAAAGGGAGAGCCTACATATGTGAGGTAATTAACTAAAGCTCCGTGATTCAGTCTCCTTGTTAGAGAAGTTGCAAAAGAGAAAAATAGGCTGATTTCAAAAATAAAAACAAAAGGAGGAAAATCACAAATATTTTCCATATGAGAGAAACATTAGTGAATTCATTGTTTTTTCTTTGTTTCTTACTTAAGTGTACATTTTACACAGCCCTCTTCTATCTGGAAGCTAACACAAATGAATTTCAAATCATCAGAAATTCATAAAGGATATGCATAATAATTGTTCCCCTATGAATTGAAGTCAGTCGCTAATATAATATAAATTAAGGCAAATATTATAGGGAAAATATGTTTTAATTAATTCATACATTTTTATTGTGTCATCCTTATACTCAATTGGGTTCTTAATAAGTTGCTAAGTGTTCTTCATAAACGTTTGAAGTTTTTAGGAATTCATGAAATGCATTCTTGTTTACTTGATATAAAAGTTAATTATAATCTCTTATTGATCTCAAAAAACAAGGAAATAATACTTTATGCTATCTCTAGTCTACAGTATTATTATTATTTTTATTCACCATAAGAAATTATACAAAATTTATGAATTATTTAATAAGAAAATGAAGATATTATTAATGGAGAAAATTTGGTAAACTAATAACTCAAGGATAAGGGAAACTAACCTCTTAGAAAAGCTGCGAAATCTATAATTATTTAAAATACTATTTATTAACATAACCAGCAACTATTTTATGTATATCAGAATATTCCTATTTTTTGAGCATATTAAGCTAATTATTGAGATAAGATGTTCCAATCTCAGGGAAATATTTCAATTTTCATAAAAACTACATTTTTGTTATTAACTGATATCCCTGAATCCTGAACTGGCTTTGGGGTAAATATTCATTGTTTTCCATTTAACATTTTATCTTTATGAAAAATTTATGTGATATCTGAAATATTACTTAATAAATTCTAAGCAGTGTTATTGTATTACAACTAATATTTAGAATTTAAAATAACTAATAAATTCTTATCAGCTTCAAGAAAACTTAAAACAAAACTGAATTCCTATAATTTCAGATATAACCACCCTTTCCAGCAACAACAATGAAAATATCATTAAAGTTTTACCACTGGTTTATTCTCTACATAATAAATGGATACTTT